CTGGGGCTTGGATCCACTGGAAATTTTTGTGGACAGAAGAGATTCCACCTATATAGAAAGACTTCCTCCCCCGCTGCAGCCCAAAAGGGCCACCCCAAAGGGACTGACCTCCCAGGAACAGCGGGGGGGGGGGAGTCAGTGAAAATCACCCCCTTCCTTCTGCAGAAATTCTCCACTAAATCCAAACCTGGAAGGGTGGAGAGAAACTAAGGGTGAAACAATTAGATACTGGCAAGCCCTAGGCCTGTAGGACAGAAGCTGTTTTGACATACCATTATTGTGGAACATCAAGATTTTTGTATCACGGTAGTGAGTAACCAAACTTCTAGCCTCCCTAAATAACATATGTAATTTTGGAGCCTTAAGATCCAGGCTTAAAACTTGCTGTGCTGCTACCTGTATGCTTAAAAAGTGGAGACATGCTGCATTAGAGTAATGTCAGGTTTCCTTCTACTGATATCAATAAATTAGCACTCTAGCTGTAATATGGAGACCCCACCGAACAGGACTAGTGGTCTAGTGGTCACTTTGATATTTGATAACTAGAGATGGGCATGAACCAAACTACGAAGCAAAATTCGTCACAGATATTGCCTTGTTTGTGGTTTATGAACCAAAGTTTTCGAGAGGTCTACCATCACGAACTTCCACGAACTTTTAAAGCAGTTAAAGTCCTTTTAAACCCTTGCTTTCTGTTCCCCCTGAAAGCTGCAAATACAGCTGAGCAGCAGGGATCAGCCTGTTCCCTGCTGCTCAGCTGTTTCAGGCTGCCATGTGCAGTCCCTTTAAAGTTTTAAGGGGAGCGCACAAGAATGCTCAAACTGTTCAGTTGTTTTTTGGGCTTTCTTGTGCACAAGACAGCCCGAAACAGCTGAGCAGCAGGTAGCAGGCTGCTTCCTGTCACTCAGCTGTCTTTCGGGCTTTCTGCAAACCCCATTTAAAGGGACTGTGGTCCCTTTCAGTGGGGTTTTCAGGGCCATGAACCACACACTGGGTTGGTTCAAGAACAAACCTCCCATGAAACGACACCAACTGTATTTTTCCAGTTCGTGCCCATCCCTATTTATCACTGTATCACCAGCTTATTCCTGAGCACTTTAAAAGTACCAGGAAATAAACTGGAGATACAGTGATAAAATACTGAAGTGACCACTAGAGGGAGCAACATATGTGTGGAAAAGGGGGGAAAACTCAACGCAGTAGGGGCACACAGACTAAAATGATGCATGCAAAAAAAGCCCTATGTTGGGAAAGGAAAGCAAATACTGCTGAAGTCCTCCTACCCCAAAAATTATATCCAGATGCCTCCTTTCACTCCAACTCTGACAGAGTAACCCTGCATAAGTAATACCTCTAAACTCAGCTGCAATGTCCAGTTTGGGTGCCCGATAACTTTTTATATTCTTGTGTTTGTATTTGTCCAGAGACCTGACCTGAGCTTTGATAAATCCATGCCAATTGGTTTTTCCACCGAAGCAGTACCTATTTATCTACTTGCAATTTCTTGCTTTCGAGCTACTAGGTTGGCAGGAGCTGGAACTAGAGATGGGAGCTCACTCTGTCTTGCAGCACCCGGGTCTCAAACTGCTGAACTACTGACCTTCCACAGCCTGCAGTTCAGCGGCTTAATCACTTGAGCCACCGCAGCTCCTCTGACAGATTAACCCTGCATAAATAATACCTCTAAACTCAGTTGCAATGTCCAGTTTTGGTGCCCGATAACTTTTTATATTCTTGTGTTTGTAATTGTCCAGAGACCTGACCTGAGCTTTGATAAATCCATGCCAATTGGTTTTTAAAAATTCAAATAGCAACCCTAATAGGGCAATCCTAAAAAGAGTTAATGGATTGTGGAAGGTGTAGTTCTGTTTGGGATTACAGTGTAAATGTCACATGGCATTATGCCAGCACTGTATAGACGTTACTGCAGTGGTTCAGGCAAGTAGATCAGCTGGAATAAGGATCAGGTCCTTTGAGCTCCTGGTAGCCAGGATTTCTGGAACATTGGCTGATAAACCAGAAAATTTGGGTGGTGGTGGTGGTAGGAGCAGTTCAGCAGCAGATTAGCCAAGTTTATTTCTTTGACCTGGAAAGGATGATAAATAATACATGATGCTGCTCCTTCTACTGGCTGCTTTTTCTTCCTCCCTCTGTAAAACCATCTCCATTTTCTTGGGATGGAATGCTTAAGACAATGGAGCTAATGCGATCCCCCCTCCCCCCATGGAAGGGCTTTGAGGCAGCCGCACTATTGCTGGGCAAGCCAAGCAAAAAGGTGTAAATGCTTCTGGAAGTGATGAGTGCGTTCTGAGTTAGCTTCCGTCAACTGCCTTTGAGTCGGTGGATTTGTTTAACCTTGCAGCATAATGAGCTGCCAGGGGGACTGCTCCACTCCTGAGCCGCCTGCCTTACTTTGCAGCCATTTGCTCTCAGTAATTTCTTTCCAGTTCCAAAGAATGGGTGCAGTCTTAACAAATCCTAAACCACGACTTTAATCAAGGTAGGCATTTGCACCTCCACTTCCCTCTGGGGTTCGTAATGCATGTCAGCACGGGGGCCTTTTAAAAGAGGGGGCTACATTTGTGTCATTCTGCTTTGAGCTCGTTATTTATCGTTCCATTTTCATGACCGAAAGCAGAGCTTTATGTGTTTTGCTGCCTTGAATGGCAGCCTGGCATGCAAAAAAAAATGTCACATATTTCCGTGCCAGGAATAGCTTGAAATTAGCACAGAAGAGTTTCACCTGCAAATTGCTGCTGATCAGGCTGCTGTCATAAAGGAAGGGGCAGTCTTGGCCATTGTAGTTGAAATAATCTGAGATAAAGGTGACAAGCTGTGCAAAACAGTCTGCGATGTCAGATAACTCTCTCTCTCTCTCTCTCTCACACACACACACACACACACACAAGCAAGCAGCCTTAGGTTGGGAGAGGAGGCTGATCTGGAGCAGAGCCATGATGCAGTTTCACTAACTCATATCCCCCCCACCTCAAGCCATTTTTGACATTAGCTCTTTTAATCGACTGCATTCTGTGTTTTGTGCAGAAGGGATATATGCCTTTCCTAGAGGGCACTGGAAGAAGCCAGGGATGGAGAAAGAAGTAGAAATGAAAGGGCAGATGCAAGCTGGCTGCAGACATTTGTAATGGTTCCTATATTTGCAGCAGTCTCTGTTTAAAATGTCACAATCAAAATACCAACCATCACTGTGCAAGAATATATAAATGAATGTTTTCTGTGTTCCGAGAATGGGATCTTAAGGCAATTGTACTTTTTAAGCAGCTCCGATCTGCTGTTTAAAAAAGCCATCACACCTTCTCTAACAGTGCACAAGTCACTAGAGGAGAAGAGGTTTCCCCTCACCTGCTAATGGCGAAGGGAATTATTATTTGAGAGAGAGAGAATTAATAGGATCTTAATGAGCCTTGCTCCCAGTGCATTGTTCACTTCACTCTTAACAGCAGCTCTTTGGATCAGAATGTAGAGTACGTCAGCTTCTTACTGTGAGCTTTGATATAGACATGTATATTTTTGTACTGAATGATCATAATGTTTCTTCATAAAAAAAAAATAACCACAGAATTAACTTCTGCCTCCAGGGAGAAACATATGGCAGTTTGATAGCCTCCTTTCCCCCCTTTCCTCCACCCCTCTAAAATTAATGTTTTATACCGACTTGATGCAGTCTATTATGCTCCTTTCATACCCTTCCTGTCACTGGAACATTAATAAGGGGAAATAGATACATGTTTCTCTGTAGAATTTAATCTTTTTAAAGGTATTAGTTTCAGATCCATCAGGTGATCCTGCAAAGCCCTGTTGTTCAGAGTTCTGAGGCTACAATGTGCAGCAGGATCAGACCAGTTTCTGCAAATGGCTCAATTAAAAGAAAGTATCGTGATACTAATATGAGAAGCTGTATCTATGGTTATTGCTCCAAACTTTGCTACTGGCCTTCTGGAACCTAGAAGGTCAAGAAATGTGGGATTCAGGCAGCCATAATGAGACATACACAGTTAAGCATGAAATCATTACAAAGGGCTTTGAAACTGAAGTTGGCTTTGCACATTATGAAAAGATGAGGAGCAGGCCTCCCTCATGTACCATATTGGGAAACGAAGGTTCAAGGGCTTTGAAACTGAACTTAGCTTTGCACATTATGAAAAGTATTCAGAAAAATGGATGTGCAGTGGTTTTTGGTTGACTTCAGAATACAGGTGTGTGGGATGGTTGAAATGCAACTGGGAAAGGCTTGTCTGGCCATGAGGATACACTTCATAGCTTCTTGCTGTCTAGATTTAACTGGATGATATGCTTCAGAATCAGGAAACACAGTGCTACAAATGAGTGACTGTCATACATCATGAAAAACTAGTTCTGTTATTTCTCTTCCTTCCCTTCTTTCCCCACTGTACTGAAAAGTTTCTAAAGTGATGTGCAGCAACCTAAAAGATCATAAGGGCATAGATATAGGGCTCTTTTTGTAGAAAAAGCCTAGCAGGAACTCATTAGCATAATAGGCCACACCCAACAGCAGAAACTCATTAGCGTATTAGGCCACACCACTGACAGCACAGCTCATTAGCACATTAGGCCACACCCCCATGTTACCAGAAGTGTGGTTATCCAGCCACACCCACCTTTTGCTTGTTATTCTACCGCAACCCTAGAGTCGGACTCGACTGGCTTTCGAGCAAGGGAACCTTTACCTTTACTTTATGCTTCAGAATCAGGAAACACAGTGCTACACTCGAGTGACTGCTATACATCACAAGAAACTAGTTCTGTTATTTTTCTTCTCTTCTTTCCCCACTGTTCCAAAAAGTTTCTAAAATGATGTGCAACAACCTAAAAGATCACAAGGGCATAGAAATAAAATGTTCCTGCCCAAAAATAGCCCTGGAAATAAAATTACGCAACATCACAAACACAACTGAACTATGAAGACCTCAAGGAAAGTACGTTTCCATGTATAATGAACTATGCATTGTCTTTTCCAGCATTCAGGTTCACTGAACGTTGTGGGTTTATCAAATGCTTTAGAAAGGCAGTTGACTTCAACAAGGGTATCTAGGACATCTGATCTAAAAGCACAAGATGTCTCTACTGTAACATCTGGCCAGTCCCAAAGTATGCCACACGTCACTGATGTGCAGCTGGAAGCTGTGCCAAGTTTCAGCTTGGCCCTGGACAGAACTGCAAATGACTTGAGCTCTGAGACGACAGACCACTTAGTAACAGGTGTCATGTCCCTGGCGGGTGCAGTGTGCAAGGTAAGAACTGTAGATATATCGCAATGGCAGGACGTTTGCTTAAATGGTCACCCCTAGTCATGTGACACGGCACTATTCAGATCTCAGTTGTGGTCTTCTGCATGCCCCATGTAACACTGATTGTACAATGTCCGATGCAGAATAAATGCCCTTGCAGATTGTAGCCCACAGCATTTAGCTTGGAAGTTACTCATGCTGCTGACTTGGCTTCTTTTGTACAGGCATAGGCCCAGTCTGCATCTAGCATTTGCTCCGCCATTATACCAAACCCACACTGGAACAGAAATTCCCGTCTACATTGCATGCCACTTTCACTTTGATTGAGTGTCACATTTTATGACAGTGTTCAGACTGCATGCCGCTTTCACTTTGTTTGATCCCTGGTTTAATGGTGGCTGTCTGCAGAGATTTATGTCCGTTTTATGGCCATTCGGGGGTGACTCTGCAGTCAGTACGGTGTTGGCCCGGGGTAGTTGAATGTGGTTTTGAACTGCATCTTTTTCTGTTCCAGTGTGGGTTTGGTAAAACAACTGAGCAAATGCTAAATGCAGACTGGGCCATAGAGGCTGTCTATGTGCTACCCATTAGTATCAAATGGAGGCAAACAAAGGTGCGCGCCTACCTTCACAAAAACTGCAGCCTTCATCTAGAGAGCCACACAACTGGTTCCATGTGCCAAAAGGAATATTGAACTGGCATTTCTTGAATAAACCGCATTTGTGCCTTGTATGACCCTCTTAAGACACTGCAGGCTGGGGGTTCCAAAGTTCTTTACAATCTCACATTTTAGTCTGTGATTCAAAGGGCGAGTAGGCAAAAGTCCCATGGACCAGCTTTTTATTTCTTTATTTGATTTCTAACCTGCCCTCCCCTGCACTGCAAGGCTCAGAGTGCGACTTAGGGCTCTTTTTGTAGCAGGAACTCCTTTGCATATTAGGCAACACACCCCTACTGTAGCCAATCCTCCAAGAGCTTACAGTAGCCCTTGTAAGAAGAGCTCTGAAAGCTCTTGGAGGATTGGCTACAGTAGGGGTGTGTTGCCTAATATGCAAAGGAGTTCCTGCTACAAAAAGAGCCCAATGATAAAATACAATACAATAGAATAATTAAGGATAATGCCAACAATTGTTAAAATTGAAATATAATATCATTTATGGCACCATTTAATACCACTGTTCCTGAGCCAGCTCCACATATGTGCACAGTAGATGGTAACTGATAATACAGGAGGTGTACAGGTGAGTAGAAACAGAAAAAAGATGGAAACATGCAGGGGGAAGCCAGTGCATATAGGTCTCTGCCACCTCAACCATCAGCCTGGTGGAAGTCTCGCAGGGGCCTGGATCTCTCCTGGGAGATTCTTCCACCAGGCTGGCGCCAGAGCTGAGAGCTGAGAAGACTCTGGCTCTGGTTGAGGCTAATTGGACCTCCTTCAAGCTGGGGATCAGTTGAGGATCCACAGAGCTGTTGTTGATCCACAGAGTGTAACGCTCTTTGAAGGACGTACCAGGAGAGACGGTCCTGAAGGCAGGGGTCATTTCATAGAAAAAGAGGTACAGGAGATCATGAGCATAACTTATATGCATATGCCACACCCCCTGACATCACCGGAAGTGTAGCAGAAGGCAACACCCACCGCTCAGGTTCCACTGGTTTTGGATTGCTAGCTATTGGGGGGGACGACGTGCAGATCTGTCCTTGCAGAGGAGGGAGAGCTTGTACCTGAATAAAACTTGGTCTTAAAGGTGCCACTGGACTGTTTTGGACCGGGAGGCTAGGGGGGAGCTCTGCAACTTACCTGGCTGCTTCTTGCTCTGACTGAGGGCTGCTGGGAGCAGGGGGTGGGGCTTGTTGCATGTGCCCGCCCCCTGGGCTCTTTACTGCTGGAGCTCTGTTCCTGTGCGCTCCTGCAGGAAATGACCTCTGCCTGAAGGTATGTTGGTCCCAGACTGCATAGGGCTTTAAAGGTTAAAACCAAAACCTTGAACTTTATCCAGTATTCCACTGGGAGCTAATGCAGCAGGCAGAGCATCGTTTGGGTATGGGCTCTTAATGGTGCCCAAGCAAGGACACGCACCGCTGCATTTTGGACCAGCTGAAGTTTCCGGGTCAGTCTCAAGGGTAGCCCTGCGTCGAGTGCATTACAGTAATCTTTTGGATTCCCAGCCTGTGTGTGTGTACCACTATACATGCAGGGCTCTCTGAGTCAGGACAACCATCTTCAGAAATGTCATTGTGCTCTTCTGTGATTATTTTGTCCAGACTGAAATTAAAAATCAATTTGTACATTTCAGTGTAATTTCCCCCCTTCTAGCTTGAAAATGAAGAGTTTGGCACTGTGAGTTACCCTCTTGGAAGTGACTCTGCTGTGGATGAGTCAAAAGACAGTAATGAGTATGTTCTTCCTATGCAAAATATTCTGGAAGAACCTATTAATCTTTCAGTGAAGAAGCCTCAGCTGTGTGCCTCACCTCCCATCTGTATCACCAACTCTTCCTGCATACAGCCCTTTAATCCACCGCTACCAAGACATATTGAAGGTACCAGGTTTTTCTTATCTTCCCCAGGCTTTCTGAATAAATTCGATTGAGTCTGTTTCAGGATCACTGCAGATATCATTATTTCCACTTCTGACATAAAGTGATGTGTGCTTTTCATTAACAGATGGATTCTGAACTGATCTTTGATTTCTGAAATGCTTGCCCCTAATCGTTATGAAACCACTTTCTGATGAAAAATGGGATATAATTTTTTTTTAATGATTGCTTAGGTCTTACATGGTAGCAGTCCTCTAAGCAGAGATCTAGAGCTTTCATTGAGTTTCAAATCAACCTAAAGATGATTCATGCTAAGAATATGGGGTACTTCAAACCTTGCTAATTTGATCACAGATTGATCCACAGTTGTGGGGATGGGACTAATTTCACTAATGCACCAAAATAGAATGTGCAGCAGAGAGAAAAAAGGGGGTAGTCACCAATGCTCCCTCTAAGCTGTTGAGTCTTGTGAGCAAAAATTCTACTTTGTGAGCTACTGGCATTAGAAGAAGGAGTGGAGAAGAGATTGGATTTATACCTCACCCTTCACTTGGAGTCTCAGAGCAGCTTACAAATTCCTTTCCCTTCCCCTCCCCACAACAGACACCCTGTGAGGTGGATGGGTCTGAGAGAAGTTGTGAGCGAGTGATTTGGTTTCTGCATAAATTAATTTTCCCTGGATCCAACCTTCCTGAGCAAAGACAAAAATGTGTGAGCCGAAGGCTAAAAAACTGTGAGCTAGCTCAACACTAACTCAGCTTAGAGGGAACACTGGTAGTCACCACAACTTTATGGAGCGATTTTCACCAAGTATCCATCAGTTCATCATCATGCCTTATTTCCTTTTAAATGAAACAATCTCGGTATTGCCAGCAACAGGCACCTTTTCATGATGCGGAGAAAGGGGTTGGTGTAATGGCTTCAAGTGAACTTTCTTTAAGTATTCTTTTGGCATTCTTTTAACAATATAGATGCGCAACTTGTTCTGCACTAAGATGTTTTATGTATGTATATACAAGAACTGGAAGGGCACAGTTTTATTTCAAGGACATGCAATTAACATAGCTTGGATATTACCTTCAAACACTGTTCTTCTCCCAAACAATCATTTGTGGGCAATTTTGTGTGCTTAGGGCCCCGGTCACA